GTGTGATGTGGAGGGGCAGGAGGTCCTGACCAAAGCACCAAAGCTGAATTTGACATCCCAGAAGAGAGGACACAATAGGAGAAATCCCCATCTCTTGGGGGTGGAGTAGGGTCAAGATGACCTCCAGAAGAATCCCACAAGCTTCCCCTTCTGACCCAGACCCTAGATTTCCTTTGAAGAGCCACACTCTGCTGCGCTCAGCCCATCCCAGTTTCAGATGATGGGTCCGTGATCCAGTGTTTACCAATCAACATCATCTACCCTTGTGGTCATAGATAGTGGCTCAGGGTTAGTATTTTGTTTCAAGCCGAACTCGTGTACTGGAGTTCAGTTCTGGCACTAACTCAGAACTAACTAGCCCAAAGTTAACTCAGACCCCGCAAGCTACATAAGGACTCCCTCTTCCACAAGAATGTCCCCATTCCAGATGCCAGTGGCAAGTGGGGTCCCAACCATCTTCACTTCGCACCAACCTGCTGCAGATGTGGGGGCTTCCTGTGACCCCCCTCAGGTGTGATGATTTGCTAGAACAGCTCACAGAATGCAGGAAAACCCGATACCTATGAGCACAGTTTTATAATAAAGAAGGAACAGCTGAACAAAAGATAACACAGGGTGAGGTGAGGTCTGGGAGAGTCCACATGCGGAGTTTCCATGCCCTTCCCATAGAACCAGGGCATGCCACCCTCTCGGCACGTCAGTGTGGTCCCCAACCATGAAGCCCCATTGAGCTTCAGTGCCCAGAGTTTTTTAGGGGGACTTCATTTCTTAGGCTTGATTGATGAAGTCATCGCCATGTGACTGAACTCAAACTCCAGAGAAGGAAGGGGTCCAGCTTCCGAATCCCAAACCTCTTGGGAGCCTGGCTGGCTCCGTCGGAAAAGCATGTGACTCTTGATCTGTGCGTGGGGGGTTGAGTTTGAGCCCCACGTTGGGTGTAGAGATTATTTACATAAATAAAAACACTTAAAAATCCCAACCCTCTAATCACAAAGTTAGTCTTTCTGGTGACCAGCTTAGTGCCTGAAGCTATCTAGGGACTTGCCATTAGTTAGCAAAAACTCTCTGCCAGGGGGTGCCTGGGTGGCTCCATCGTTTGAGCTCTTGATGTGGGCTCAGGTTATGGTCTTGTGGTTTGGGAGTCTGAGCCCCACGTCAGGCTCTGTGGAGCCTACTTGGGATTTTGTCTCCTTCTCCCCCTGCCTCTCTCTCCACCCTGTCTCTCTCACAAACAAACACACAAACTTTTTTTTTTTTTTTAATTAAAAAAAAAGCTCTGTGCCGGGAAGCTGGGACAAAAGCCAAATTCTTCACTCTACAGCAGATAGTCATTGGATGACCCAAGCTGGGCTCCTGAGACTCAACCCTGTTGCATTTGCTGGAGCTACTGGGAAAGCTGTGATCTTTTCCCACGACGACTGATAAGGTAGTAGAAAGTACGCTTGGAGCTGCTGGTTGCCATCTTGCCACCCATGAGGGGACCATCTGCCTAAGAATTAAGACAGTCAGAGGAAAAGCTAGGAGACTGAGACCAAGTTCAAATGGATATTATTTGAGCCTCTGGCTTCAGCCATGCCTGAAGTCACCCTACTTCTGATTTTTCAATTCTGTGAACCAGTAAGCTCCTCTTTCCATGTTTAAGCCTTGAGTTGGGAGGGGGGTGTTCTATTACTGGTAGCTAAAAGCATCCTGAGTTTCACATCCCCTGTTCCTATAGACGAAGTGCTTCTCCCTTTTATATAAATACCTTGGCTTAACATGGGTCCTGGATCCTACCGTTCTCGCCTCCCCAAACCTCACTCCAATTGCCATCCTTTCTACTGGCTCCTTTCCCTTCATACAGTCAGGTGTCCCTCAGGACTCAGCTCTCCATAGCCCTCCTTCCATTTCTTCACCTTCCATTCAATCCTGTCCTCAATCCACTACCATTTGGCTTCTGCTTCTCCCACTTCCCTAAAATTACTCACTGAAGTCACTAAGCAGTCTCAGCTGATGAGGGATAGAAGCAGAAAAATAGTCACCTTTAGCCTAGAAGACTAACCTAAAGCTTGCATAGTTCTGACAAGGACCGAATACGTGCTGGCTGCCACATTCTTAAAGGGTCTCATGACACTCAGTGCATCTCACTGAAAGTTAATATTGAACTGAATGATAAGCACCAGAGAAATCTTGCGAAAGTGGTTTTACGTGAAGTTCGAAGAAAGCATTGGTGATCTAATACTCCCTGCACATCCCCTCCCCCTTGAGCACTCAGCATATAAACACCACCTTCATACAGCAAAAGTGCAGATCTTTCTGCCCATGGGTCTTGTCCCTGTGCTATAATAAAAGCACCTTTTTGCGTCAAAAACATCTCAAGAATCCTTTAATGACCGTTTGTTCATGGCCACATGTCATTAGTCATCAGTGTTTTCTATAGGAGACAATGGCAGTACCATGGATTCCTTTTTAATCATTTACCCGTGATGTGTCTGCCCAACTCCCCCCCTCCTCCCTGGTCTTTGTTGTGTGGTTTTTCTTCGGAGAGTAAGAATGTACAGATTTTTTTTCTCTTTTGGAGGAATGCCCTCAGGCCACTGAGGGCTTTGCCTGGATGAACTGGTGTCTCCAGGAGTGTCCCTTTGTCAGAAGCTGAGGAATGTGGGTATATGAAAGCCCTTGCTCTCTTGTTTCTGGACAAATTTGAGGCATACCTTTTTTCCAGAGCTCCCTTGCAGGATCGAGTTGAACTACTCTCTGCCTGAGGTCATACGTTTGGTTGGTTTCCCCTCCTTCCCTCTCCTGCTTCTCCCACTCTCTTACTGGTTTCTTGTGGTAGCACTTTTTGACTAAATCACTTGCACACAAATCCTCATCTCAAGCTCTGCTTCTGGGAAACGTGACCCAAGACATCTTGGCACTTTCTACTCCTGGTTCGCTGCCTACCTTTTAAACGTGGCTTGTTTTCTGGGATTAGGTTCTGGGTCCAATTCTCTCTACAGATATTGCCTGGACAATCTCACTGATATACATGGCTTCAGCCACTACTCACTTCTGATCACCACCAAACCGCTTTATGCAGCTCAGTGTAGCTTCCTCTCTGCTGGACAGCTCCACCTGCTTGTCCATGACAGCTCCTAGTCATTATCCACATGTGGCTATTGTAATTAATTAGTTTAAATCCCTTTGCTAGTCACACTGGCCACCTTTCAAGTGCTCAATAGCTACCTATGGCTACTGGATACCACACTGGATACTATCGATACAGAACATCTGTCATTGCAGAAAGTTTTATTGGACAACTTAGGCACATTTCCAAACCTAACTCATCATCACTAGACCTTTACCTTTCTGTATTCCTCAACTGTGCCTCTCTCCTAGAAACAGTGGGCAGAAACCTCAGAGGCTACAGAAACTAGAAACTACAGAGAAAGTGTGTGTAAGGGTTTCAGGGAGGAAGGAGGTAACCACAGAATGAGAGTCTTTTCCATTGACATCTTCCTCCGGACTGGGAAGATGGATGGACAAAGGTTGCGATGAAGACCTTAACAAAGGCTACCTGTGAGCTGATGTTGGCTTGGTTAGAGCAGAGGCAGAGCTGGGGGAGTAAGGCTGGCTAGGCCAGAACTTGCTTTCCACAATGAATTATTCCATCTCCGTCTGGCAGCCTCAGCCTTGAATAAACATTCTTGTGTGAGTCAGGGGATTTATCCATCTCCAGTCTCTTGTGTTCCAGGATGAGTATTTGATCCAAGCCCATCAGCTAAGGTCAGTCCTGGAAATTTTATTGCAAATCCCAGAAAAGAAGCATCCTCTTTGTACTTGAGTTGCTATTAGGACTTCAGTTTGGAGCCAAGGACAGTCATTTTACCACTGAGATAGGCCTGCCTGCGAGTGAAGCCAAGTGCATGGGGGAAGGAAGAGCACAGGGAAGGTGAACCATAGGTTTCTCGTATCTTTTGACTTTTATTCAACTGTCCCTGAAGAAGCTAGATCCATTCTTTTCTATTGCTTCAGCCAAGATATCCCTATTGCTTAGGCCAGTCGGAGCTGGGTCAGTGAGAGACCTGACTGATCTCATTGTGCTTATGATTTCAACGGCTTTCTATAACTTAATGATTGTCAATTTCTAGATCTGGTCTTCACGTCTCTCCTGAGCTCCAGGCTCTATGTCCACTGGCCCCCTGACGTCCCACAGGCACGTCCAAAGTGATCTCTTTATTTCTGCCCTTAGTCTTTATTTCCAGTCTCAGATGGAACCTCCTAGACCTCCACTCTCTTTCCTCTGAGAAGCCAAGGTCGTAAGTTCAGGCTCCGCCTCTTCTCGGGGCCTCAACCAAGGTCACCCACGTCTTCCCTCGCCGGGCTCCTTGGAGGCAGTGTCTGCGAGCCCCGCAGCCGCAGGGCTAGACGCTCTAGGCTGCAGCGGGCCCTGCAAAGAGCCTCCTCATCTCGCTGGTTTCCGGTACCCGGTCGCCACTCTAGGCCGCAACAGGGCCTCGGGACTCTATCCCCTAAGGTGGCGTCTCATGGTTGACACCTCTCCTTTGTCGCGACTCTCCTTCGAGAGGACACCTGGTGGGATCCAATCCCTTCCCACGGTTGCTTTTGGGGTCCCTTTAAGAGCAACCGAAGAAGCCCCTGAGCCCTCCGAGGGTCCCCCTCCCCCTCGCAGCACTCGATAGGTTTGCACGGAATAGGAAGGTGGCGGAACTGAGCGTATAGGTGCCCTTCCCTCTCGCAGCTCTTCTCTATGGTCGCTTCCTTCAGTGACGGGAAAAGGGGTCCCGGCGCCTGCGCAGAAGCGGCTTGGGAGCTAGTCGCTGACTGCGGGGGGGAGGGGCAGGGAGCGGGAGCTGCCGCCGCCGCCGGAGCTAACCGCGGGGACCGAGATGCAGGTGGGACCGGAACCGGAACCCCCCTCTTCAAGTACCTCTTCCCTCTCCGCGACCCGGCCCCGGCGCTTGAGAGGAGCCCTGGGTGGGGGCGGGCGTGGGGGGGTGGGGGCAGAGACAGGAGGGCAGCTCGGCCCCGGACAGTGCAGCAGACGGGGCTGGTCCCGAGGCGGCTGCGGCCCCGGGGGAATGGGTGGGTTGAGGGTGTCCAGGGAGCAGGGTCGGGCCGAAGTGCATTGACCGCCGGGCCCAGAGGGTCCGAGCCGGGAGCGGAGCCTGCACCCGCCACCACCCGCCCTTCGGGAAATTTCAGAACTGAGCCAAGAGGCAGGTGCACCGGGGGAATGGGTCTGAGTCTTGCTTGGCAGAAGAGAAACTGAGTCACCAGATCGGGAGCCGCAGGGTCAGCGGGCCCGAAGGGGGCTGGGTCGGCCAGTGGTGCAGAGGGTTGGGTGGGCCCGTGTGAGCTGAGGTGGCCACTGGCTGGAGATTGCTCTCTCTGCTGTGTCTGCACCTCTTGGCTCGGTTCCCCTGTGCTCCATGACTCTCGCATCTCCTGGCTTCTCGTTGGGCTGGAATTGTCCCTGTGGTTGGAGCCATCCGAATGTGTAGGATCTAGGCCAAGGAGGAAGGGGAGGGGTCGCCGATTGTGGGTCTGAGCAGGAGCCTGAGGTTGGGGGAGACTTTCCTGAGCTGTCCTCTCCGCAGTCCTGGTGCCAGTCATCATCCAGTGTAATACGGGGGAGGAACACTAACAAAGAGCCATGGGTTTTAAATGCCATGCCCAGCGTTGCCACTTGCTAGTTGTAAGATCTTGGGAAGCCTCTTCCTTTCTCTAATTTCTCTTGGAGAAATTGGCACCCATAAAGATAGTAATGATGGCAGTCCTGTATTGTGTGCTTACTCTCTGCCAAGCTCTGATGTGTTCTGTTTGCTTCTCCCCGTGATTCCATGGGTTAGGGACCATGAGCTCTGTGTTATAGATACAAACCTGCAGTTCAGAGAGGACATAGAATCTGTTCAAGATCACGGCGCTAATAGGGGGCAGAGCCGGGATTTCATCCCAGGTCCAACTCCAGGTCCCGTCGCCTTAACCACCAGGCTCGCCAGCCTTTAGGGCACACTCCCCAGTGAAAAGAAGAGGAAGTGAGAAACCCTAGGGCCCCAGCTCCCTGTTATGGTTTATTTACTTTGTGGCCAAGAAAGACTTGCCCTGACCCAACCCACGGTCTTTCCCCGCCTGGGGCTGCTGCTCCTGGGCCCCAGGCTGAAGGCACCAAAGAACTGGGCTGTGGCCATTCTGAGCCTCTGTCACACGGGGCTGCTGGGCCCTGGGGTCCGCTTCCAGGACAGTTGTGGTTTCAGTCCATCATCCATTCATCCTCTTTACTGAGCAGCCTCCCTCCTCAGAGCTGGACCTCAGGACGCACGAGGCAGGTGTGGCCCTAGCTCTCTGAGAGCTGGGGCAGGACAGGGCTGTGTCAGACTGGTCCAGCCAGTCCCTGGGGACAAGGACTATGCAGTGGGCAAAACCGTAGACTTGGCCTTCTGAAACTTTTCTGAGCCTCGGTTTCCTCATCTGTTACCAAGGTTATTAAAGCCTGTTGCAGGGAAAGGTAAGAACGTACGGGAAGCACGGGATAAACCTTGAAGGAGCTGTTTTAGAGAAGGGAGGTGGTGTGAGTGGTCAAGACTTCTTTTTGGAGGAAGATGCTTCGAGGCCGCCTGTCGCTCCTGGAACCAGAGGCAGGGGGAGTGGTTTGGGAAGGCAGCAGGGCAGGTGGGGGGGTGAGGGGGTGGGGTGCGAGGCTCTGGGAAGGGGAAGGGAGGCGGTGTGGTGGTCCTCCACTGCTTTCCGAGGAGTCCAGACCAGAGTGGGGAGTCCGGCTCGGGGTGGGGCTCTGGCCCCAGTCCCACCTCAGCAGTGACTCGCTCTCTGTGCCTCTCTTCCTTCTACAGCTGCTGCCGCTCTCCCCGTGTCTTCTGGCTGCTTCCCTCTTTGCTGCCCCTCCCCACAGGCTCCCCCTCTCCACCTCCTGGGGACCATCATGAATGGTGCCCCTTCCCCGGAGGATGGGGCCTCCCCGTCTCCTCCGCCTCTGCCACCCCCTCCTCCCCCCAGTTGGCGGGAGTTCTGCGAGTCCCATGCCCGGGCTGCGGCCCTGGATTTTGCCCGTCGTTTTCGCCTCTACCTGGCCTCCCACCCCCAGTATGCGGGGCCCGGGGCTGAGGCTGCCTTCTCCCGCCGTTTTGCCGAGCTCTTCCTGCAGCACTTTGAAGCCGAGGTGGCCCGGGCCTCCGGCTCCCTCTCACCACCCGTCCTGGCCCCCCTGAGTCCTGGTGTGGAGATCCCGCCACACGACCTGTCCCTTGAGAGCTGCAGGGTGGGCGGGCCCCTGGCTGTGCTGGGCCCTTCTCGATCATCTGAGGACCTGGCCGGCCCCCTCCCTTCCTCAGTCTCTTCCTCTTCCACGACCTCCTCCAAGCCGAAGTTAAAGAAACGCTTCTCTCTCCGCTCCGTGGGTCGCTCCGTCCGCGGTTCGGTCCGCGGCATCCTGCAGTGGCGGGGGACCGTTGACCCTCCCTCCCCAGCCGGGCCCCTCGAGACCTCGTCAGGCCCCCCCGTCCTGGGTGGAAACAGCAACTCCAACTCCTCTGGCGGGGCTGGGACCATTGGCAGGGGACTGGTTAGTGATGGAACATCCCCCGGGGACCGATGGACTCACCGATTTGAGAGGCTGAGACTCAGTCGGGGCGGGGGGGCCTTGAAGGATGGAGCAGGGATGGTGCAGAGGGAAGAGCTGCTGAGTTTCATGGGGGCTGAAGAGGTAGCCCCTGACCCAGCCGGAGTGGGCCGGGGGGGCGGGGCAGCTGGGCCTACCTCGGGGGGAGGAGGGCAGCCTCAGTGGCAGAAGTGTCGCTTACTGCTTCGAAGTGAAGGAGAAGGAGGAGGAGGAAGTCGTCTGGAGTTCTTTGTGCCGCCCAAGGTGAGGCCCCGAGGAGAGGAGGGTGGGTGACTGGGAGCGGGCTGTGGAGCCACCAGAGTGGAACAGCCCAGGGGCGTAGCTCTGCTCGCTCTGGTTTCTAAAGCTGGCTCCTGCCTCGGGTAGTAGCTGTGGGCAGGACTGAGAAAGTAGCGGTCACCATCCCTTGTCGGACTCCCTTGGGGCTTGGAAGGAAAGATGGGTCTCTGGGGGGAAGTGAGAGGTGGTCACTCACACACCGAAAGTCTGGCTCTCGCTCTCTTTCCCAACTTAGGCGTCTCGGCCTCGACTCAGCATCCCCTGCTCTGCCATCACGGATGTGCGAACGACCACCGCCCTGGAGATGCCCGACCGGGAGAACACGTTTGTGGTTAAGGTAGGCGCTCTGGGATCCTGCCCCCTTTGGGGGGGGGGGGCCTGTTTTGGAGAGAAAGCTAGTAGCACATCGAAGCGGGGGACTTCGTGAAAGGAGGTGGCTGTAGGTCACGTGCCTTGAGAGTGTGAGAGGAAGAAAGAGGATGTTTTTGTTGTCGTCAGGGGTGGCCGAGGGCCTCTGGACCTGGAAGTGGCCTGTGGGCCTCCTTTGTCCCCACAGGTGGAAGGCCCCTCGGAGTACATCCTAGAGACGGCTGATGCTCTACACGTGAAGGCCTGGGTGTCCGACATCCAAGAATGCCTGAGCCCGGGGTGAGGAGCGCGACCGCTGTCACTGAGGGGTCCGGGTGGGGATGGGGAGCAGCCTTGGGCCCGTCACTGGTGAGTTTCCTCCCGACACCATTTTCCCTGTCTCTGCAGACCCTGCCCCGCTACCAGTCCCCGCCCCATGACCCTCCCCCTGGCCCCTGGGACCTCCTTCCTTACAAGGGAGAACACAGACAGCCTGGAGCTGCCCTGCCTCAATCACTCAGAGAGTCTGCCCAGCCAGGAGCTGCTGCTGGGACCCAGCGAGAGCAATGACCGCCTGTCGCAGGGTAAGCGTGGAGCCTTAGAGAGCCGTGAACTTCAGAACCCGCCCCCATGCCAGGCCCAGGCCCTCTCTCCCGACTCTACTCCACACCCCATTCCTGCCGCTCAGCTGCCTGTAGCAGCTGCCCCCCCCCCACCCCGACTGTCTGTCTCTGTCTGTACGTGCCACGCTGCAATTCACCTCTTAGAACCATCGCCATCGCCATCTCGCACAAACCCCGGGGGAAGCTCCCATTCAGCCTTCTGTGCCCGGCCTCTTCTCTTCCATAAGCCTTGTGCAGACCTCCACTCCGGCTGGAGACAATGGTTCTTTTCTCCAAGCTTCTGGAGCACTTTGTACACGTCTGTGTTTCGTTCTTACTGTCCATTTTTGTACATATGTCAGCGGTACCAGATCTTTCGACTCTGTACTTTGTGGCCTGACTAAAGGCACGCAGGCCCTACCCACACAGGCATGCCCAGAGACCTGCATCTGCCTGGCCCAGTTCACGTTTCTAGACTCCATTATACCCTTTCTCCTGCTCCTCCGTTCTGAGTTTAGGGTTCATGGTCCCTGGCACCCCGGCTATGATCACTGAGTGAACAAATGGGTTAAAGAATCTTGGAGCTAGGATGGACCTTACAAGTCATTAGATCCGATCCCCTCGTTTCCAGACCCCTCAGGCAGCTAAGACCAGGGAGGTGAAATGGCTTTTCTGAGGTCACCCGTGAGTCCCTGACAAAGACAGGGGCCACAGCAGTCTGCTTCCTGCACCACTACACCTGTCTTCTGAGCACTGACAGCGTGCACCATTGCCGTAAGCTCATGCTGGCTACCAGCAGACATTCGGGAATGCCCTGCTACGTACCTGACCCTGTGCGAGGCTCTGGAACAGGATGGGGGAACCTGAGATGAGCTTCTTGCCTTCTGCGGGCTCCTGGCCTAGTTGAGTTGATGAGATATCGCTGCCTCTGAAAAGCAGGACACTAACACGGAGAGCCTGTACTTAGTGTTCTCTGAGCAGCACAAGCAGAAAGCTTCTTGGGAGCGCCGAGGAAGCAGAGAGTCGAGGAAGGTGGAATAGACAGGATACTACACAGAGGAGGTGAGAGAAAAGCACAGGGCTTGGAGGAGGAGGCCAAGGGTAAGAGCACAGACCTGCGACCACGAAAACCCAGGAGCCATGGGAAAATCGGACGGGGTGACCAGGTTAACGTGGAAGATGCGGGAGTACGAGTTAACATGAAGGTCAGGTCGCTCAGGTTGGGCAGATTAATAGAAGGAGGCTCTTTGATGCCTCTGAGGGTTGGGGACTTTGTCCTGAAGGCCGAAAAAGAACTCTTTGTAACACGAAAATATTTGAGGGATCCTTCCCAACCCCCAACTCTGCAACAATCGCCGTAACTTCTGCTGTTGATTCAGAGAAACTAGAGACATATTCAGATTCCGAGACCTCCCAGCCGTCCCTGTAGTCCCCCAGCGGTGCCTGAGGCAGAAGCTGGGAGCCCAAGGGGGGAAACCGCGGCCTCTGCTGACAGAAGGACCCAGCATTTCAGCCGTCTGACTGACTGTGCACGCCAGGCACACTGGCTGGTGGCCGACCGGTCCTGTCTGAGAGTGGTTTCTCGGCTTCTCAACTCTGCCCTCCTCCCTTTTTTCCCAGGGGCTTACGGGGGCCTTTCAGACCGTCCCTCGGCGTCCATCTCCCCCAGCTCTGCCTCCATCGCCGCCTCCCATTTTGACTCCATGGAACTGCTTCCCCCCGAGCTGCCCCCCCGCATCCCCATCGAAGAGGGACCCCCAGCAGGCACAGCCCATCCCCTTGCAGCCCCCTACCCGCCCCTGGACACTCCAGAAGCGGCCACAGGTACCAGAGGTGAGAGTGCGTGTCTGCGTCCAGGCCCAGTTGGCCGCCCTGGTCAGACCCCACTCTCGGGATCCTGAAGGATCTGACCTGGGGGCGGGAAGTGACGTGTGAGGGGAAAGCCAGGCTTTTCTTCTCCCAGGATGGGGGAGGCTTCCCTGACACCCCGGTTTCCCTCCCTCTCTCCTTCCTGAAGGACCATTCCTGTTCCAGGGGGAGTCAGAGGGAGGTGAAGGGGACCAGCCCCTCTCAGGGTACCCTTGGTTCCACGGGATGCTCTCTCGACTCAAGGCCGCCCAGCTGGTGCTGGCCGGAGGCACCGGCTCCCATGGCGTCTTCCTGGTGCGCCAGAGTGAGACGAGACGGGGTGAATACGTCCTCACTTTCAACTTCCAGGGCAAGGCCAAGGTGAGTGAGGGAGAGGCCATGTTGCACGCAGTGTGCCCGCGGGTGGGGCGGGGGACCGTGGCCGCCCAGGGGAGAGGGGCTACCGCTTCACTTTGCTTGTCCTGCCCTCAGCACCTGCGCCTGTCGCTGAACGAGGAGGGTCAGTGCCGGGTCCAGCACTTGTGGTTCCAGTCCATTTTCGATATGCTCGAGCACTTCCGGGTGCACCCCATCCCTCTGGAGTCTGGAGGCTCCAGTGACGTTGTTCTTGTCAGCTATGTCGTGTCCTCCCAGCGACAGCAGGGTGAGCAGAGCAGGTCTGCAGGGGAGGAGGTGCCCGTGCACCCAAGAAGCGAGGAGGTGTGTGTGCCAGCAAGACGGGGCGGGGGGCTGCGAGGAGGAGAGGCCCCGTTAGGGAGAGTAGGGCAGAGCAGGCTCCTGGGTGTTGGGCTCTCGAAGGGGACGCAGGGCGCTGAGGACGTAGGGAGGCAGGGGGCTCCTCACCGGAGCCGGGAGGAGGCAGGAGCTGGGCCGGTGCATCCCCATTTCATCAGACCCCCTGTTCCATCATCTGTGTGTCTCTTGGGTCTGCCCTCTCCAGCCCTGTCTTTGCCCTTCGTCACACTCTAATCTTGGGCCTGCCCTTCTGGGGGATGCTCGGTCTGATCCCCCCCCCCCTCCCGTCGACGTCTGACGTCCCTGTCTGATCTCTCCTTTTCCCCACCCCAACGTCCCATCTGTCCCCACGTTGCCCCTCCCCCTCCCCCAGGCCGGGAGCAGGCCGGGAGCCATGCTGGGGTGTGCGAGGGAGATCGATGCTACCCCGATGCCTCCTCCACCCTCATGCCCTTCGGAGCGAGTGACTGTGTGTAAGTGTGGTCCTCCTCTCACCGCCGCCCATGATCCATCTTCCATGGACTGGGGGGGTTGCTCAGGAGATGGGATGTGGGGGAGATAGCACGTGGCTCCTGGGGGGATGAGTGCAGGGGAGGCCGCCACCAGAGCTGGCCTCCCCTCCACAGTCTGTCTTCTTACCGTTCCTATCCAGAACCGAACACCTCCCATGACCCACCCCAGCCCCCTGAACCCCCTTCATGGACAGATCCCCCACATCCTGGGGCAGAAGAGGCGTCGGGGGCGCCAGAAGTGGCGGCAGCAGCAGCCGCAGCAGCCAAAGAGAGGCAAGAGAAAGAGAAAGCGGGCAGTGGAGGGGTCCAGGAAGAGCTGGTCCCCGTGGTTGAGCTGGTCCCCGTGGTTGAATTGGAAGAGGCCATAGCACCAGGCACGGAGGCCCAGGGAGGTGCTGGATCTGGTGGGGACCCTGGGGCCACCCCAATGGTGCAGCTCCAGCAGTTACCACTAGGGGGCGATGGAGAAGAAGGGGGCCATCCCAGAGCCATTAATAATCAGTACTCCTTCGTGTGAGACACCCTACCCCGCTCTTTCTCCACTCTTCTTGCTCCCGAGCCCTTCGTTCATGAGATTGGGGCTGAGCAGGGATGTAGAGGAGCGGTAGGAATCCCTCCCCACGTGCTTCCTGACCCTTGACGGCCAAGGGCACATATGTTGGTACAAGAAGAGGTTCAAGAGCCCTGTTAACTTCCCAGTTCATACACTACAGGTGCCCCATCCCCTGGGCAGGGGATTTGGGCTCCATTACCTCCCTGAGGGGCTCTTATGGTCAGCCCCACCCCTGGGGGCTATTTCCCCATTAACCACCCCCCCAGCCCGAGGAAGGGTGAGGGGGAAGGGCTGTCAGTTATATTAAGGTGGTTGTTGTTGTTGTTTTAAACAAAATGGAGAAGCATAAATAAATAAAAGGGTTTATCTCAGTTCCATCCTGATGGCTGTGGCCACTGTGTGCAGTGGGGACTGGGGCAGGTGGGTCAGGAAAGCGGCCCACTCGGTGTTGCCCACTCCAGAGCTGAGAGGCCAGAAGCCTGGGTCTGGTCAGGTCCCTGTTGCCCTCCGGCCCTGTGCTCTCAGCTTCTTGCTCCCCTGTGGGCTGCCTTGTCTGTTGAGCGGTAAGTGCAGAACCAAAGAATGCTTCTCGGGGGTTTCCAGCCAAGTGCTCCTAACGGGACTGGACAGTGAACAGCAGAATCTGCAGCCTCCGAGGACCCTCCTGGCTCTAAATTCTTCAGTTAAGGCTTCCCACCCTAGGGAGAAAGCAGGCAGAGGGAGATCGTGGGGGCGAGGTTGGGAGTGTTGGGAGTGGCCATATCACAGTGGCCGTGTTGGGAGAGCTTTAACGTGGCAGCCACAGAGTCTGGCTCCAGGAGGGCCCTAGGGCAGGCCGGCTGCTCCCCTTCTCAGGGCCAGGCTGGGAAGCTGGGGGGATGGGTAGGTGACAGAGGGCACTGGCTTCCACTCCTAGCTTTTCCTCTCCTTTGCTGTTTGGCCTAGGCAAGGTGTTAGGCTCTCCAGGCCTCCGTATCCTCCCCTGTAAAAGGGGAAGTTTCGCCTGGGTCGGAGCTGCTGACATGATTTGCTTGGCCTGGATAGTGTTTCCTTTTGGGATTTCATCTACAAGTTCAGATTACTGGCTTCTCCCGAAAATCAGAAGATCCAGCCTCACTCACGTGCTCCACCTTCTGCCTTCCACATCTGCTCCATCCCCACTGGCCCACTTCACTCACGTGACCTTCCCAGCCCAGCGGGCAGGAGTTTGCAACATCTTTCACTCCTTGCAAGGCCCCCGTTAAACCCAGGCTCTGCGCCCTGAACCGATCCGCAGCCGTGCCCGCCTCCAAAGGAGGGCACCCTTGGGTTTTCCGGCCCTTCGGGTGGTGGGTGTCCACAAGGAGGGGCCGGTTCCGAAGAATCCACTGTTGTGCTTGGCCCTCTCCCTTCCCTACCTGCACCCAGTGCTGCCCCTCACCTTCCTTCCTGGGGAAGCATGGAGCCTACATTCGCGCCCCTCAGCTACTGTCCCCACATCCAGGAGGCCCTACCCATGCTTATGACCTTGCTATTCTGGGCCTTGCGTCCTGTTGGGAGATGGACAGGAGACAGCTGGGCTCATAGGCCACCCAGGCTGGGGGCTAGTCGGGGGAAGCCTGCTGGCTCTCCCAGTTTTGTCTAATCCCGGGGCTCCCCCAAACCTTGGCCTCAGGAGACTGGGGATGGAATTGGCCTTCAAAGGAGGGGATGGTTTGGGCATCTGGGGGCTGTATTCTGGAAAGTGAGGTGGTGAGTGAAGGCTGTGGTGTCCCAGGGTAAGCAGGACATGATCCCCTCCTAATCTAGCAGCAACTGGTGCTGTGAGGCTCCCCCTCCCCCTCAACAGCCCCAACCCCCTTCCCCAGCTTCAGGAACTTGCCTTCTGAAGTGGGTGGGGGAGGGGGACAAGGAGCACCCTGCACTCCAGGACCTGCATGTGGCTGGAGGAGCCTAAGAGACTGTTTCCCTCTAAGCCTTGCCGTAAGGATGCTTGGCCTGAAGTTTGGGACCGGTCAGGGACTGGCCAGGCTCTGTGTCCCTGTTCTTCAGAACTGGGCCTCTCATTAGCTTCTGCCCTCATAGGAGGGGAGGCACACCCACAAGTGTGGGCTTGGAGACTCCAGCGGGAGGGATCTGCGAGGGACCCAGGAGAACCAGTGCCTTCCCAGTCTGTACCCCCGGCCTCCCTGATGGGGAGCTGCGCCTGGCCTTTCACAGCTCGCAGCTTTTGTCGGGTGGCTCTCCCTCTCTCGCTGCAGCCTCCCCTCTGGGAAGTTGGGGGAGGTAGAAAGAGTCACCTTAAAGGGCCCGGCTGGCAGCGGCGGCCTGTAAAGCCTGCCTCCCTTCGGCCCCTGCTCCTCCTGCTCTCAACTCCACCGAAGCCGCGATCCCTCCAGTCTTCTCCCCCTTCTCCATGTTTGGGCATTCTTGCTCCTTTAAGACTGTGCCCCTGTCACTTCTCCAGGTGGTGGCAGGGAGAAGCCAGAGAGCACCAAAAGGCTTGGCAGATGCTGAGCCTGATTCTGGGCTGAGAAGGTGGGTGCTGGGCCAGGTGGAGGTGCCTGTGGATGTGACCCCATTGTCTGAGCCCCCATCCCCAGGTCACAGCTCAAGGAAGGGGTCTGTTAGAACCATGAAAAGGGGGACGGAAGGAGCACCGTGTCCTCAACTCACCCCGGAGGCTCCCCTCCCCCAAGTCCAGGTAGAGGAAAGGATTAAGTATGGGGGGCTAAATCCTTAAGTGCCATCCACCCCTGCTGGCCAGACTGCTCCCCAAAAGTGAGGCTTCCCTGTCCTTTGCTCGCTGTCTCCTCCATCCTTGTCTGCTTAGGAGCTTGAGCGCCAGGGAGGGAAGCAGCCTGGAGAACGCTTTCAAGTGGCCCGGACTCCTGACTGTCCACCTTAGGAAGCTGGAGGCATAGACGCAGGAAGGACTTGAGGCTTCTTCTTCCCCTCCCTAACCTTCCACTGCTACTCTCATGGAACCTCTCTCCTCTCTGCCCTCCTTTCCTCCCCTGCTCACAGCCCAGACTACCCTCTGCTCCTCCAGCAGCTGCCCTGGTAGCAACCAAGAGACGCCCCCATCCTGGAGCAGGGGTGGGGGTGGGGGGCTCAGAGCAGCTGCTTCTATGAGGAAGCTGACACCAAGGCCAGCCGCTGAGCAACAACTTGTGGCTTTGCACCCAGCCCTGGGCCCCCACCCACCTGGCTGCCGCATGCCAGCTCCCGGCCGTCCCTTTTCCCCACTGCTCCTTAGACTTCCCTCTGACCCGGGCAGCCCTGTCTTGGTTTTCCCAGCTCTGTTCTGTCCTTATTTCCCCTAGACCTGTCCCCATCAATCTGCCCCCTCCCCATTCCTTCCGCCTGGAACCTTAGCCCTATCCAGCTTCCCAGCCCCCTCTCCTTGACACCCCTTCTTCCCTCATGCCTCTTCCTGTGGGATATGCCCAGTGCCTGAGCCGATCGATCCTCTCTCCCCTGGAGGAGATACTTCAGGGTCGGGGGTAGCGGGGACCACACACCATCTGGGGTCTGCCCTGTGAACTCTTTGAATGAAAGAACACAGTGGGGGATGAGGTGACCCTCATTCCATGACTTGGGGTGACTCCCGCCCCCAACCTGAAACATTTATCCCTCTCCGTCTGCCATCAGCACATTCTGTAGCCTCTTGGATTACCTGGCTGTCTGGGTATCCCATTTTCTTGGGGGGGGGATTCCCTATCAGGGATGGGGGGGCCCCTGGAGGCTACATTCCCAGAGGCTGAGTTAGAGCGATGGGGAGGGGGGGAGTTTGGGGGAGAGACAGGCAGTGCTGGCTTTGCTCACCAGGGCTTGGACACTAAATCCCTTGTTGATGGCTGCAGCAACCCCTCCCGGGGGTAGGGTTACCGTCTTCTGCCCTGTCCCCTTGACCCTCTCCCCTCCCTACTTCCCCTTGTTCCTCTAGAACCATTTCCTCTGGCCCCCAAAGGATGTTGTCCCCCTCTCCGGTCCCCTGAAGGTTGGAGTATCTGCTGCCCTTGCAGCAAACTGAGTGAGGAAGAAGGAGACTGTCCCAATAGAAACAGGTTGAGAGTGGGTGGAACGGGATGGGAATCGGGGAAAGGGAAAGGTGGAGGCCTGAGGGTAGAAATGGGGGAAGAACTGGGGGCATGAGTTTGGAACAGGAAATTCAGTACAACCGAGGGAGCCCAGGCAATTGGGGGAGGGGTCAGCAGAAGACAGAAAGTGAAGTCTCTCCCTGCCCCCCCTGGGGCTGGGGCCACCTTAGCTTCCCTCATGAGTGACATCTCAGGCTGCAGCCCCACTGTTCCCCCTCTGTCAGCAGAAATATCTCTCTTCTGACCCCTCCTGCCGGAGTCTCAGCCAGCCAATCCCTGATCTGGGTGGGGGGAGCCTGGCCCCCCCTACTCCCTCATAAGGACCAGCTGGGGGCTGGGGGGGTGGCCGGCTGCTGCAAGTGGGACGGGGGGTCAGAGCTTCGTGGAGGGAAGAAAATCCTGGGGGGGGGGCAGGAGAGAAAAAACAAGAAGCCCAGATAGACAGGCAGTTGGACACCCTAAGGAGGACCCCGGACGCGTGAGAACCCCCTAGAAGGAGCACACCGCCCCCTGGCCCCCAGGAAGGGAGCACAATGGAGGCTGCACACTCCAAGACCACAGAAGAATGTTTGGCCTATTTTGGGGTGAGCGAGACTACAGGCCTTACGCCGGACCAAGTAAAGCGGCATCTGGAGAAGTACGGCCCCAATGGTAAGTTTCTCTTAGAGGAGAGGCTGGCAACGCCCTCTGGCTCCCCCACAACACACACACACACACACACACATACACACACACACACACACACTCACACACTGGAGTCTCTCTCCCTCCAGAGTACCTCAGGGAAGAGCCGGGCCATGGTCCGGTGACTGCAGGGACGCCCTCTGGCTCCCCCACAACACACACACACACACACACACACACACTGGAGTCTCTCTCCCTCCAGAGTACCTCAGGGAAGAGCCGGGCCATGGTCCGGTGACTGCAGGGGTTAAGAGGATACTGACAAGACAGGGTCCCTGAGGTGTAAAGTTTTGGGAGGTTTTCCGGGATGACCTTGGTGAACTTCAGATGCCCTTTGGTGACCTGATTCTCTTACCTTAGCCACAGAATCCTGGGTGTGGGAGGCATTAGACCGAGCCCCAAATGAATGTGTCCTTTTCTTCTTTTTCCCTGGGTAGAGCTCCCTGCTGAGGAAGGTAAGTTACTGGAATCCCTAGACTCTCCTAATGACACCCCTCCCCAACCCACCCCCACTCCCTTCTCCCCACCTTCTCCCTACTGACTCCTGGGGCAAATACCCTCCCCAACGGTTAGAGTCTGGGGCTGGGGGCAGGAGTCTCCAGGCACTTTCTCTGTGAGGCCTCCAGCCCTTGAACAACTAACTGCCCACCACGACTTTGGGGAGCGTGTTTCTGGACTGGCGAGCTCCCTCAGCCCTTCTCTCAGTATCAAGCGGCTTGCCCATCACCCCAGAACCTTCCTGCTTAGGTTGGAAATCAGGCCACTCTCAGCCCCTGGACCCCAGCCTGCACCCGGAGTCCCAGCCATTCATCCGCCAGACCTTAACCGTGGGGGCCCCCTCCCCTGCCTCTTCCCCCCAGGGAAGTCCCTGTGGGAGTTGGTGATAGAGCAGTTTGAAGACCTCCTGGTGCGGATCCTTCTCCTGGCTGCCTGCATTTCCTTCGTAAGTGTGGGATGGCAGCTGGGGCCGGCTGGGGTGTGGGTCGGGGGATCTGGAGCATCTACGGGTCGGGGATGGGCTCCGGCTCCTCTGGTCCAAGCCCTCAGCATCCTATTCCCCAGACCAGAGCCGAGGGGGGCGGGGGGGCCGCGCTGATACGCGTCCGCCTCGGTCCTCCCCCACACCCCACAGTCAGGTTTTATTTTAAGCTTTAAGGGTGTTCTCAGCCAAAACACTGAAGCTAAGCCACCCCCGCAGCTTCAAGGGCTCCGAGGGCTCGGGTTACCCCGCAAGCGCTGGGCTCCCCGGCTCCGACCCGGCTGCTGCGCTCAGGCCACCACCACTCCCGGCATGCCTCGGGGGACACAGCTGCTCCACCAATCCCCGAGCCTCCTGGCGCCCCTGCCCCGCCCTCTCGATGCCCATTGGTCGGGACAAAGACTCCCTCCCAGAGGCGGGAAAGAGCTACTGGTGTGAGGGTACCTCCAGATGCGCCCGAAGGCCCAGCCGGGCCCTTTACCTGTCTCCGGGCTACACTGCCCGCCGCGGTCCAGACTGGCACTCCTTGGACTCCCACCATTCCTCCCCCCTCTCCCCCCCCTCCACGCCTGACCTTATTCCCCCTCCACGGGCCCCTCCTAGCGGCAGGGCTGCCACCTGTCTGGCCCAGGAGCCTCCCTCGACACCCACCACCCCAGCAGCCCATCTGCCTTTTGGAGTTTCTTCCTTAACATCTTAACACTCCTGGAAGACAAGACTGGGGGCCGAGATGTCTCCCTGTCCCCTGGTCTCCCGTCACGGAGGCCCTGTGGGCCCCCGAGTGCTAGCTGGCAGGGCTTCCCTTCTCCCTTCTCAGATTTGCTCCTTGACATTTGCCTGTAGCTGTTGCCTGGCGCTGGCAACAGCTGGGCTGGGGTGTGTACAGGAGGCCCCGTAATACTATCCCCCCTCCTGCTCCCTCATGAAATTGGAGCTTCCCCGCCTTGGGCTGGTGGGGAGGACTGGAGGGGGGGAGCGCGGCGTCTGCGAGGACCACAGGGGTTTTTTCCCTGTGGAGTTGTGGCTCCCGTGGGATGGATGTGGTTGTGGGGGTGTCGCTGGTCTGGGTGTCCCTCTCCCTCGAGCTTTGTTTACAGGCCAACAGCTTGGCCAGGGACTCCGAAAGCATTCCCAGTTAAGCCCCGAGTTGTACACGTCTACACCTGCCGGCTCCTGCCGCGTAACCGCAGTGGCAGTGGCCCTGTGAGTCTGCACTTTGGAGTGCGTAGGACCTCAGACAGATGCGGGGCTGTGGTATCGGTGCAATGCCCGGCCCTGTTGCCTCCTGCACACTTTCACAGCCTCCTTGCCTTTCTGTATGGGTTTGAGGGGCTCTGTTACCTGTTCTTCCTCCCCCTGCTCCCAGGTGCTGGCCTGGTTCGAGGAAGGCGAAGAGACCATCACTGCCTTCGTTGAACCCTTTGTCATCCTCCTGATCCTCATTGCCAATGCCATCGTGGGGGTTTGGCAGGTTAGCTGTGACCCCGCCTCGGTCCTTCACATCCTGACACTAAACATGAAGCCAGCCTCCCTCCCAGTCTCCTCCCCCTCCGTCACTTCCTTTGGGCTTGCCTCGTTCTCTGTTCCTAATGCCAGGTTTGGAGAGGGGATGGGGTGTGGGAAAGAGGGGGGAGACTGGTGCTCCCACTGTCACTTGCTGGCTGGATAACCCAGGCAAGTTCCTTCACCTCTCTCGGCCTCAGTTTCCTCATCCATAAAATGGGGTTAATAATCCTGTCCCTCAGAGCTGCGGTGACATGTACCAGGATGAGTGTGAAGTGGCCAGCCCCGTGCCTGGCATGTAGTCGCAGGTCAATAAATGCGGTTTGATTTTCCTTCTTACCTTACCACCCTCTACTTTTCCTGTCCCTTGCTTCTGATTTTCCTTGGTTCCCTTTTCTTCTCTCCTCTGAATCTCCTTACGTGTTTTCAGCCATAGTGACAGTTTCCTCAGCACACACACACACACCTACCTTCACGTGTGTCTACTCCCATATTCCAGGAGTCAGGACTGCGTAACCTGCCTCTTCCTCTGTCCCGTCCCTGTTTCCCCGAGGACTCTGGCCCCTGCCCCTAATCCTCCCCGGCCAGTCCCCTTCCCTTCCACGACCTTCCTCCCTCTGATGACCCTCCTCTCCTCTCCTCTCCCCTGTCCCTCCAGGAGCGTAATGCAGAGAATGCCATTGAGGCTCTGAAAGAATATGAACCCGAGATGGGGAAAGTCTACCGGGCTGACCGCAAGTCAGTGCAGAGAATCAAGGCTCGGGACATTGTCCCCGGGGACATTGTGGAGGTGGCTGGTGAGTGATGGGAATGAGCGGTGCAGGGAGGGAAGCCTTGAGCTCAAGGCAGAGAGGATGTGTATGTTGAGGGTGGGGGCCTCTGATTCTGGGGTCCAGGAGGTAGCCAGGATGGTAGAATCTTTGCCTCTCCTTCCCAGACTCCTCAGGAGGTCACCCCAGGGCACTGTGGCCACAGCTCCCCTCCCTGCCAGAGTCTCAGCAGGAACAGCCAGTCCTGTCCCTGACGCTCCAGGCGGACCCCCTGCTCCCCCTCCTCTCACCCAGCACTTGCAAGCAACAGGTGGAACCTAGTCCCTGCCAATGGCCCCGTCTCCACCCCCCTCCCGAAGCCTGGCTTCCCTCTCCTTCCAGCCACCCCCAAGCTTGGTCAGCTTTAAATCTTGACCTCTCAGTGCCCTTGAGGCCTCTTGAAGGGGAAGGAGTGAGGGTAGAAGGGAGGAGGGGGGCCGAAGGCTCAAGCCCCCAACCATGTAAGGGAAACTCAGGCCCCAGCGGGGAGCACGGGACCTGGAGGAGGGAGCTCAAGGAGGGGCCCCGCCTCTCCGGTGAGGGACACTTAATGCCTGACCAGGGAGGGGTGGGGGCCGGGTGGCTAAGATTACTGGGATTCTGCCCCCTTCAGCGGTTTTTATATTTGCCCCGAGCAGGCCTTCCCACATCTCTAGGCCCCTGGCACAGGGGGACGGATCTAGGCCTCCTTCCTTCCACAAGACTCCCGAGTTGCCGCCACGGGAAACCTGGGGAGAGGGAGGGAGGGTGGGCCGGAGACCCCGCTGCTGCGCCATCACAGGGCCGCCCCGCCACAGTGACAGTTTGGAGTCGGCGCCATGCACATCTATAAATATCGCTTGGGCTTGGGTGACAGAGTGTCCCGCCCCACTCCGTAGCCGACCTCCTCCCTCCTCCGTCAGCTTCCTCTGGCGTGGGAGGAGGAACCCTAGAAACAGGGAAAGGAAAACGGCCCCACAAACCCTGTCCCCCGTACCATCCGTGGGCCCGGCGGGATTAGCAGAGGCTCTGGGAGGTGATTAGCCTCCTCAAAGGCCCTGCAGTCCTGGGGGGGTTGTTATCCGCTTTGTCAGCCCATCCGCGAGGTGGTTTCCTGTACTGAAGCCCCCCCGCACCTCCTGTGGCCTGCCCCCACTCTTACTTGGCTTTCCCCAGCCTGCCCCCCCTTCTTGTTTCCCCCAGACCTCCCCTTCTCTCCTGTTATCTCCCCAGCTCTCCCCCCACGGCCTCCTGCCTTCCCTCAGGGGCTCTCACACCAGGGCTTGGTGCCTGCGGTCTCCACCAGGCCCTGCCGGACCTGTGCCCTCAGCCCCTGCGGCTCCTCCCTCTCCTCCTGCGTCTGCCCTTCTCACCCTTCCCTCTTGCTCCAGCTTTTGTCCTGCTTGACATTGCTTTTCTCGATTCCCAGATTTTCTCGTTTCTTCTTGTCCCACCCCCGCCCTGTGATGCCATGGCGTTCTCTCCCTCTGACGCCTGTTCCTCAAATTTACCGTTTTCCTTACCGTTTCTTTTCTTGCCCTCCTCGCCTCACTTTTCTCCCTCTTGTTTCCCTCTCTGATTTGCTGTCTCATGACACAACTGGACTGTTCCTAATTTTCCTTCCAGCCGCTCAGTGCTCGTTATGGAGCACATGCCATGTGCCAGGCAGTGCCCGGGGCCCCCTCACGGGCTCACGGCCCCCGGGGGAGAAGGGCAATGAGGGGGCAGTTGGAAGGAATGTTGAGAGGGGGGTGATTGCTAGGGTTCCAGGAGCCACGCCAAGGGCCGGGCCCAAGGCCCGGCGACCTGAAGGACGAGGTGAGGTAGCCAGACGAAGACTGGGCTTTTCCTGGGAAGGAAGGAAACTCCTGTCTCGACTGATCTCTCTTGTCTACTCTTCCCACAGTGGGCGACAAAGTACCTGCAGACATCCGCATCCTGTCCATCAAATCCACCACCCTCCGGGTTGACCAGTCCATCCTGACAGGTCCGGGGGCCTGGGTGGGAGGGTGCTTCGTGGGGGCGTGGGGGTGAGGCTTTGCTGAGGCGGGGAGCTGAGTGGACACACGGGGATGAAGTTCCCAGTGGATAAAGGAGAACACCCAACAACACGACCGGCTCAGAGTGGCTCAGCCTTTGTTCACTGTCGCGAGCCTGAAACACAAGGGGTCATGGGAGAGAGCGGGATGCTTATGGCCGTTCTCCAGGTGGTCATTGACCCCGTCCTCCCTCACGGGCGTTCAGATGCCCAGAGAACTCTCCTGTTGCCTCAAAAGACCGCCCCAAGTGAGGAACAATAGATTCTAGGACACGATGGAGGGTCTGGATGCACTTCAAACCACAACTGCTTCTGTTTCTCCACTGGGAGAGAGACGGTGAAGAGTCAGCGAGCATTTCCTGTGGGCCAAGGAGTCAAGGCTGGGCCGGCCCGGGCTGGCTCTCTGAGCCCCTGTCCACTGGCGTGAGGGAGGCAAGGTAGCGGCGCCTCCTTCCCAGGAACGTGCTCTGTAGTTGATGGAGCACCTTCACCTTCACCTTCACATATGTCAGCTTGTTTGCCGTTCACCAAGACCTTGTTCCGAAGTCCAAGTATATTATCTCCATTTGACAGAGGAACAGAGGTTAAGTGATCCCAGTTTATGCAGCTTGTAAGTGGTTAAGCTGGGGCTCAGGTCAAGGACTTTTTACTTGAAGTGCGATGGGTTTCCCATCGCCCTTTCCAGAGTTCAGACTTCCTCCAGAACCGTCGCTTGGTCCTTACGAGGCCCTGTCCTGCCAAGCAGGGTGGGAGTTAGGGGCGGGAAGGATGAGGGTAGGACATGATGTCATCTGAAAAGCCCTTGGCTCTTTCTCCCCAGGCGAGTCCGTATCTGTC